AGTTGTGCGTAGTAAAATTTGAGGGTTTTTTCGGGTTATGTTGGGTCAAGTGTTTTTTATGCGCTTCTAACTCAGTTAGTCCAAGCTACACAAACTAAAACTTCCATGCAAAACCCTGGACATTTGAAGGAATTTACAAACTCCCCAGACAAGGCCGAACGGGCCGGACAGCCCCCGAAAAAGAGGACATATGGTCACTCTAGTATACATTTTTTTATATACCTGCAGTAACCACCATCCACATGGATGTTACGTAATGAAACACCTCTGTTTCTTGCACGCATACGGCCCATGTGGCCAGTAGAGATAGGGTTACCTGACTATAGATGGGACTTTTGTTACAATCAACTATCTTGGCTTTTAGGTGTGACTCAGAGTACTGTGAGCAGCTTTTGTTGTAATTCAGTGTAACATATTATCAACCGTGAAGTGAACAATTACTTCTGTTTGAGCTCATGTTGATTTAGGTTTGGAAAATTTAGCTCACATGTTGCCACCATGTTGTGCTGCTTTTTAGCTCTCCTATATTCATATTCAGTGGACTGTATTAGATGTGACAAAATATCAGTCTGACTTGATGTGAAATAAATTAGGTTAAAAAAAATTGTCAAACAATTGAGCACTCTTTAGATTCAATGTTATTTATGATTTTTACATTTTACAGCTTCATTTTGCAGAACTTTTATCCAAAGCAAAATACAAACAATATCCATCTTAAAACAACTTTAAGCTGACACATGTACAGGTGGCAACAATAAATACACAGAGACAATACATTGTACAGAAGATGATTTTCTCTATATTTTGTCATCATCAACCATGTCAACATCATCCCATCACTAAGAAATATCATATCGTAACATTGGTTTCAGGAGGTCCTTGCCACCTGTACAGCCTGCTGTGTTGAGGCTGAAACAAACTTATAAAAGAGTTTATGTCAAAAAATTTCAACGGTCAATAATCATGTGCGTATGTGTTTGCACAAGAGCGAGCTCATTTTGAGGATAGTTCTTTTCTCATTCGTCAGTGTCATGTTGGTTTGTCAAATGTTGAGGTGCTGTGACCTTTGTGTGCATGAATGTTAGAAAACAGGCTATTAGGACTGACAAAAGTACTCAGGTTGCCTATCATTCAATTGACTCAACTAATTAAAGTAGCTCACAATGGAAGGTTGTTGTATAAATGTGGCCCGTGGCTTGGATGTCTATCTGGACATAATTTGTTTATGTCAAATTATTTGTCTGTTCATGTTGAAGTTTAACCAGCTTGTGGTGTACTGTAATTTTCTTGAAATGGATTTTTATATGAGGCAACATACTCAAAAAAGAAGAAAAAATAAATGTAGGAAAAAGCTGAAAAAAGTGAATATGACATGTTTTAAGTCTCATGTGATCAAATGAGATAACTGCGACAAACCGTTGATAAATAGGGTTGATTAACAGTGAGTGAGTTCTTGTTGGTGTTTTTAGTTTCACCAGCAGATGGCAGCAAACTATAGAGAAAGATATACTGTGTATACAAGAAAACAAGGTCCTCTGAACTTGTGTCTGTAATTATTTCATAATCTCCTAGAAATGCTGAATACTTTAGACATTTACAGCAATGAACTGTTTTTAATAGAGTTTATTTAATAACTTTTTTGATGTCCAAATAATACTGCACATCAATTTTCTAATTGATGTGTGGGTAAGTAGCTTTTACATATGATGCTACCTAATCTACAAGGTGTTACAACAGAAACCCTGTGTTTCGGTGCAGGTATTGATGCCATCTCCATCAAAGCTGACTCAAGCTGATGTTCAGAGGATGATCAATGAGATCGCCTCCGAATGGGGACTAATTTAAATTACCTGTAACAATGAAGGTACGATGATATGAAACTCAGCATGTGAATAAAATACACCAGTCCAGAGAAGTGGGACCAAACCTTTAGTGTTAACCTAAGGGGGACTCTCATGTGCTGTCAGGTTTGTGTCTGCTGTCCAAAACTGTTCGGGTGTGTGTTTGTGTTTGTTTGTGTGGATGTGTGTGTGTGGCTACTACAGAATTTTTTATACCAACTAAATCAATAAATAAAATGTAAATATATTATTTAGGTAAAATTCAAGTTTTATTATTTTCCAGCTCAAACCCAGAAGTCATTTCACATACTGATGGGAATTATGTGCAAAAGCAAGGTCATTTCATTGTCAGACAAAGGGGGAAAAAAATCACATAAAATTTTAATTGAATTGTGTTTTGTTTGAAAATTTGTGTTGCTTTTTTTTCTGAGCAATTAAAAATTATACTTTTATCTTTATGTCATTAAATCATGAGTTTAATAAAAGATTTCATTTTTTGTTCATTGGCTGTTTTCTTCTGATCAGAAATCCAATTGTATCTCTTGCGGTAAATGTTAATCATTTGTCAAAATGCCACATTAAATTTTTCATTTTCCTCAAATATATCAAGATCAACAGTTTTTTTTTTTTTAAAGATATTTACTAAAACACATTGTTGAAACTTCAAATGATGCCACAGAGGTAAAACCTTTTGCAATTTACTAAATTAGGCATGAAAAATTACCTTTATGAATATTTCTAGTATTTTTTTCTATAATTACAAAAAGGAATTATTTAATGGAAAATGGATTTTGGACTTTGAAAGATTTATCTCGGCAGAAACAAAAGAGAATAACTGGTGGCTAATTTAGCTTCAGCTTAATTAGTTCTAAATTATCAAGACATCTCTTCTGACCCTTAATTCACTGATGTGCCATCATGTTGTTTAACCTCTTTTTCTGTCCAAGAATAAACTTCATTTTTTGAGTTCATTCATGTCACAGGTTTTGGTAGCATTTGAGTGTAATATCGCTCTTTAAGTTCCCTTTAGTTCTTGCGTTAGGGGGCAGGACGAGTAATTTTAAAGGAAGGTTATGGCAAAATTTTCAATACAGCCCAAAAGGTAAGTGATGATTCTGTTTCCTCAGTCTGTGCTGAGTCCTACATGCCTGCATTTCATCTCTGCAGAATTAGATCGAAAGGAGGAGCTGAGAGTTTAATACATTCCCACTGTACAGCAAAAAACAATGAGCAGTTTTTGCCTAGGATCATTACATTTGCAAAGTTAAATAAGCTGTTTTCCTGTTTATGGGAAACTGAAAATGAACTTGCTCATGCAAAGCAGGATAAGGACAGCTTTTCTACTTTTCCAACTCTTATCACACTTAAATTGTTCTACAGAGATTCATCCACCCCTGCAAACAGTAAGCTTTGCAGTTTAGTGTTGTAATTGCATCTTTCTGAAGCTTTTTTGCATCATAATAAACATACCCTCTCTGTGGAGCTGTCTGGAGGATGTAAAGGCAGCCAAAGGTACATCATGGGAAGGGAGGGTTCCTGTGCCACGGCAAAACCCTAGCCTGTGCCAGCAGCGTTGTTTGAGCAACGGAAGACACTTTTAGACTTTAGCGAGAGTGTAGTAAAAGGCTGGTAATTCGCAGCTCTGGTGTATTGTTCCTCCTACAACAGGTTCCTCCAGGGGAACAGCAATACTTAATCAGCAGTATAGTCAAACAGCCAGTAAACCGCTATGCCATATGGGCCACAGTCCTGTCTGCAGGGGCCATCTGTAAAACAGGAGCATGCTGGTAAATAGAGGCCAGCATTAAAAAAATGATCAATTACTCACATTACATGCAGTCCTTCAGGAATTTACTTTATTGGTCTGGACATCTGTTATAATATTGTCATAATGTGTAATCAGATGGGACCTGTTATAGCCAAGTGGAAGCCGAAAAAGCAGCAGTAAATGCCCAATTAAAATGCCCAATGACAGCTTTTTGTCCATCTGCTAAATGGTGTGTGTGTGTGTAAGTGTGTGCGTGCGTAAGTGTGTGTGAGACCACCGGTACCCCCTTTATACACACACACTTAACACTGTCCCGGCCATCAACCGCAGTTTTTCCCCCTGAATAACAGCTGATCGAAGACTCGGAAACACTGTATTTAAGTTAATATACTCACATTCAGCTTTTCGGTTGATGACCTTAAAAAGACTTTGTAACTCTCACATTCATTCCTGCAGACATCTGCTGCATAACAACACACACCAGCTATGCCATTCTGGGAAAGAAAAGAGGAAAAAAAAGTGTATTGTATGAACTTGTAAGAATTCAAACTGTATAGGTATGTCAGATGAAGAGCATGTTTCCCCTCTATTGAAATGGACAACAAGTAATGGGGTGAATGTTAAAGAGGGCTTTGAAGAACGCTCTCCTGCTAACTCCTATTCCCTCCTCTGGGGATTACTGCTCTTTAAGACTGCGAAAACATCAATGCAGGTTTACTTAAAGGATGAAGGCATTTTCTGAATGGTATTTTGGGGCCGTATCATCAGGTCTTGAGCAAGGATTAGCGCTGTTAGGCATTTTGAGCTGTGTTTCCTGTCCTGATAAGTCGGATTTCACCTTCAATCTGCGTGTAAGCCCTGAGCTCTGCTCCTCCTCGCCTGCTCCTCTGAGGTCGTAGCCTATCCTTATCCAGCCCAGCCCAACCTAACATTACCTTCATCTGTTATCTCGACACAATCCCGCTCAACCACACTCTCAGCCACAGTTCTGTTGTTCCACACTTTACATCTTATTTCTTGCCCAGTTTTTCAGCGTTTGGTTCGCCTCCATCCCGTTAATATATCTCCTTTATCTGAGCTATGTATGCGGGATGCTCCAGCCCTTTCTCCCCAGGACCATTCTCTGCCTCTCTGCAGCTGGCTGGTATTTATCATCCCTGTCTCACACTGAAGCTATTTGGCAGTCAGATCGACGGGTGCCGAGGTTAACTACAAAAGTTGTATGTAACTTGGAGCTTTTCTTGTGATGATTAATCAACCAGCAGAAAATGAGCCTGTCCCAGCATCCCATGCAGTGTGCAGCATCTGGGATGGTCAGGGCAAACAAATGACTACCTGTCTTTGTTGCTGAGGACATAGCAAAACTGGACATTATAAGCAATTAATTTTACATGGCTTCATCCGCCGGGGTCCCGGTAGCTGGTGAAGAGCTTTTATGTATCTACAAGAAAGAGTATGAGCTACTGCCTGAAATGAATTTGTTGTCAGCATTTAAAGGAAAGTTGCTTTTTTTAGTTTGTAGTAAATGTTGTCTCTATAAAATTCTGTGTTGGGTTTTCCTATTCTCTCTTTTGCAGTCCCGCATCCCCAGAAACAGCTCTCCTGCAACACTTCGGAGGCTGGAGTGGTTAAAATGACTCAGACTCTGGGCACTGAATGGATTGAAAGAGGAGTGTGTGTGTGTGTGTGTGTCAACTGCATCTCACCGTGAGTGCTGTCTGTTCTCAGCCTTCTTATCCTTCGGTGTGTGCCAAAACATTTTAAGGGATTGAGCTGCCAAAGGAAGTGGTGATTAGTGTGTTTGCTTTCATATGAAGAGCCTCATTTAGGAATGATGCAGTAATTTAAGTCCTCAAACAATACATCAGTGTTTAATTAGATGGCGTCTTGAGGGATGAATCAACCAAACACTTGCTCTAATTGTTCTTTTCAATTAGGGAATCAAATTTGCTACCTCACTGCAAGTGTTGGCACAACAATAGCGCCTTGTTTGTACCTATTTGTCTGTGAAGCTGAGCAGGGGAAAGAAAAGAGAAGACAGGGAGGATTGTGTGTAAAGTGTGTGCGTGTACAGAGAGGGGGGTGTTTAGCGAAGCATCCCTTAGCCCCAGCCATCCCTGAGCAAATCCGTCCGGTGGCACAAGGCAGCCTGGCCCAGTCATAGCCTCAGAACAAAGCCCTCACACATGCTTGTCGCTCAGCTTCATTTATCAGCGGCTTGTTTGCTAATTTTAATTTGCAGAAAAGCATTCTTCTTTCCCCTTGCTTACCAGGTCTCTCAATGGGCTGTTGATTTCTTTGAAGTGACAGCCAGTAAATATGCATAAAAAGGGACACAATTAGTGCTCACAAGGTTGACTGGAGCCTGATTCCATTGGCAACTTTAGCCGTGGCTTTGATAAGCTGCATTATCTAGAAAATTGGCTGGGGGAAACAGTGCCTCTGATTGCCAGCAAAGGTTCCAGATAACAGAGCAGCTGAAGAGAAATATAATTGAGGTGGAATATGTTAACCATGATGTCTCATGGTCTTTGGAAGTGCTAATTTACCCAGTGTTGAAATTCCATATCAAGGCAACAGAATATAGAGAACAATGATCCAGGCCTTGAGGCTTTTAGCCGCCACTCTGTCAACTGTGTAGAATTTCAGAAATCATCTGTATAAGAGGCATTTTGACATGTTGTTTTAGAGTAAGCTCTGTGAGTGCAGGTAGATAGCTGCTTTTGTTGTGATTACATGATGGTGTCGCAGAGCTATCAGATTACAACCAAACCCATAACTACTTTCTTATTAACTCCATCTGAATTCTTTGGGGTTTTAGAGACGATTCAGACCAATAATCTGAGTGAGCATTTAAAGGCCATGGGCAAATTTGACCAAATACCCCTTTGTATCTAGAAGCCCTGTATGAGATGTGAATTTCTGTGCCACCAGTCCCACCGTTAATATCATCAGAGATGTCATGCCATGGCTTTTCTTCAAAGAATAATTGGGTTTATTTTTGTCACCAAAGTGATGGCTCTGAAACAGTGCTGTCACTCCTGGCTCTGAACTGTGATGCCTTCTGATTCCATTGTGCCCCCCCACCCCAACCGCCCCCTTTTTTTCCCCCCACTTTCTTTGTCTCTTTTTTTCAGGGGGATTGTTGACACCCCTCTCATCCATTCAGAGAGTTTGAGGCCTCTTGTGCAGCGCTGGCTGTCAGATATCCCTGCTGGTAGACTGGCTCAAGTGACAGACCTGCAAGCTGCAGTGGTCTTCTTGGCATCTGACGCCTCTGACTACATGACAGGGCATAACTTAGTCATAGAGGGTGGGCAAAGTCTGTGGTAGAGGGGTTTGATGAAGAGATGAAAACTTTGTCCTCTCCATCTCCCGGCATAAGTTTCTGGGAAAACTGTCATTAAGTCTGTATCTCTTTTCGGAGCCCTCACCACAGTGTTATTTTAAACCTAATGGAGTATAATTTCAGCCAGTGTGATGCTTCTACACTGTACTAGTTTGCAACCAGCTTGTTTAATGGGGAGCATTTCTACAGAATGGGATAGACCGGGTATGGTTGTAACCCTTTTGGCTTTAGCATCTGTAACCTACTGAAATTTACCCCACCACTGGAGTAGATCATAGCACATGCTAGACTGACTGTCTCCACACACCAAGCGCGAGTAGAATCATTCGCGCGAATGAATTAAATGTTAAGTCATTGCAAAGACGTGATTAGATGCGAATTGGGCGGAAGCTGAATATGTCTCAACATGAGCGGATATTCAGGTCAGCACAAAGGTTGTTGGGTGACGTATGAAAACGGATGGTTGTTCACTGGTATCTAAAATGGAGGACAAACTGATTGTGTCGGTGTGTGGGTGTCCTGAATTATATGATACCTTTTCTTTCAATTACCAAAACCAGAATAAAAAAGAGCTCACCTGGACGCAAGTGAGTAAGGAGGTTGAGTTACCTGGTAAATTGTAAAACACCTTTGTCTATCACTTGATCCCACTGGTTGAATTGGCAGAGATTACCGTTGAAATAACCATCGATGCGCAAATGAAGCGAGTAAATACAATTCATTCACATGTCTAGATTCGCGCGAATTAAGCGTGTAGATGATTTTAAGCGCTTGGTGTGAGCAACCATTTAAGTAGTAATAATCTCACAAAGAAGCGAAAACAGAGGCCACGACTTGTGATACACCTCAAAAACCCCACCCTAGCCTGCTATTATTCAAACACCTGTATAGTGGTGTGAAATTAGTACGATTAATTGATACCAAGAGAGAAACTACACTTTAGTCAGTCATGTCATTTAATCTGTGAAACCAGATAAAGTTTTGAAGCCCTGTAGAAGCCTGTTTCAAGCCTTTTAATTCACCAAATGGAATCAAAGAGGAAGTGGGTAAACACCAAAATGGTCATGTGACTCCTATGTGATCTGTAATTGGTGGAAGTGGTGGCATTGCAGCCCTCCCCATGCTGCACCCATACCCAGTCGCCCCTATCACAGAATGACTGGTTCAAAGAAGATCCCTGGTCCATGTTCAAACCACAAAAGTATACCAGTGATCGGTCTTGTACACTGACTGCACCTTGCCTCACCACTCCCACTGGTCAAAGACTCTTGTGCGCCATATGCGGGATTACAGCATCCCTGCCGGCCTCTCTCGAACACTTTCTTGCCAAATGGCCCCCAGAAGTGGTGCTTGTCAGTGCCTTCTTAATTGCTCCATTAACTGTTTGTGTGCTGAAAAACAATACTTAAAGGAGAGGTTAGCCGGGGACATGACCCTAGCTGCTGCAATTATATGAAAAGTAGTGGCCAATTAGCACACTCTGTAATGTGACACTGTTAGTGTTTATGTGAGCAACTTCAAGTTCTCACTGTTAGTGACTGTTCTCTGATTTACATAATTGGGGTGTTGGTCATTAATAGGAATGGCGTGTGAGAGGATCCCATTAAGATATGGAGTGAGATCTGATCTTCTCCATTGCTCTCCCCTATTTATCTCCAGCTTCAATGGCACATTGGACATTATTGGGATTCTTATCCTCATATTTTATGGTAAAATATAAAAGTTTTCCACAGTGTGTGAACACAAGGTCTTGGAGAATTTGTCCACACTGAGGCCAATTTGCTGTTGTTGAGGTCAGTTTCCTGTCTTGCCACTGAGGGGCAGTAAAGAGACAGGCAGCTACAGCTCTAAAGCCAGGACAAAAAGTTACATGAGGAGCTCATCACTTTATGTTTCATTATCTAAAGGCGTTAATGATAAACTCTGGCTTTCATGTATGTGCTATAATAAGAAAACCTCTCCAATTCAAGTCTGCAAATAACTCAACGTGATGGTCAATCAGTGAAATGCAGAATAATTACATTTGACATTATTTGAATTGAAATATTGTTTGTTTAGTGGCATGGCATGGGTGGTTAAATCTAAAATGTATGAAACTATGGCTTTGTCAGTTTTGATGAGATTTAAGTCACTCTGTAAATCCAAAGAAAATCACTCAAATATCAATCTCTGATCCTGGTTTAGAGAGTCAATTACCCATCTGCATCTCTATCATTGCATCCTTAGGTTTACTCAACGTTTAACTCTCAAAAATTAATGATAATCTTTAGATGCTTTCATATCCTCATCCTTTTCCAGTGATTCAATGTCAGCGTTTAGAGGCAACATCTAAACATTTTTTTCTAATCATGTTTTGCACTGTATTAAACCCTTCAAAAGCCCTCTTTGAAAGTTCTTGTTTTCCTTTCAAATTGCAGCCAATGAAGCCAAAACTATAATTTGAGCAGCAAAATGCATTTCCTGTGAATGCCTTCGCCTGTTTCATGCCGTGTAAGTGATCTTGAATCCATTATTTCTGACCTTCTTTTGCTACCATTATTCTGAAGAGTGGGTCCCAGTTGTACGTAGCACTGTTTTGCTAAACAGTTCTTCAGCAGAAAAAGGCACTTGCGTGCCCTCATGCTGGAAATCAACTTTGATTAATACTCAGCTCTGTCATGGCAGCAACATTTTACTGCTGCAGCCTTTCAGAGGGAGACAGCGGTCAATGGTGAACAGTACAATGAGGCAATGTGTGTTGCTGGGCAGGTTGTGTCCCGGTGACGAAGGGACCCAAGGGTTTATGTATGACATATTAACATTTGACAATATCATGACACCTTTATTGATGGATTATGGCGTCCTGTTACATACCCACTCAGTGAGGTGTTTGAGGATGACATGTAAGCTATTATAAATTGAGTCAAACCCCTGATGCTATCTTTAGGTGTAGGACTGTGCAATGGCGAAAGGAAAATGTCAACACTTATCTTCAAAAAGACTAGCAGGTGTAATGTGAACGGCACACTTAAGAGCAAATACAATTACGTTCAACTTAAACCTGGTGTAAAATCTGATTCTTGATGCAGTCAAACACTGTGCCATTTAGATTCAAAATATCAGGACACGAGTGATAGGGGGCTTATAAATATAAAGAGAGCATTTACCTCAGGACAAATCTCCCCCTGATTTCAGTCTTCTTGATCAGCTGTAACTGTCTCAGAAATGAAACCTACTCTATGTATTCAATAAACACACAAACCTTCAAAACACTGAATTAGAAGCCAATAAGATAGGACCATTACAAAATTATACAAGAGTGTTATTTGTTAAGGTTTGACAATCTCATAAATGTTTGATCTGTAAAAATGTGTTTAGTGTTTCAGTGGCCTCGCTCCAGAACTGGACAATCAAATGATTCAAAAACACTCTGTTGGAGGAGTCTCTACAAAAGGAGTAGCTGGTAGAGACTGTAAGCCAGCAAAGCAAATCACAGGACAGTATTAGGGTAGTCCATTTAAAAACATCAAAACTAAGGCTTATATAAAGGCTAATCCATGAACACAGATACATACTCCATATGCTTGTGTCACTGTTAGTTCTCACATTTATGTCTGTCTGCTCTGTAGTTAGAGTTAATGCATTTAAGTTATCGCTTCTCTGTGTTTGCTTCTGAATTATAGAAATGTAACCTTGAGTTTTGTCTGTATTTTACAGTTTTATGTAACCATGTGCCATAGTTTTTAAAAGATGAATCAAGGACTGAGAATGAGCCATGACATGACGTCCTGTTGGTGCTGCATGTGCTTTCCCTGTCAAATGAAATTAAACAAACAAATAAATAAACAAACAAATAAAACAATTCAAAATCTACTCAAAGCTTTGCTAAAAAAAAACCTTCAATGTTCATGTCTTTTGAGTAATCTCTTATTATTAATAAAGCACCAACCATTAAGTCACTTTCGACCATCAAGATCAACGGTATCACATCAAGTTAAATTTGCCTCCTGTGTGTGTGTGTGTGTGTGTGTGTGTGTGTGTGTGTGTGTGCGTGCATGCGTGTGTGTGTGTGTGTGTGTGAGAGAAATAGAGAGAGAGAGAGATGTGACAGAGCTTGCATGTGTTGCACTTGGCGTGGTGAAGGCGCTGGATCATTGTCTACTAATGTTGGTCATCTCATGTGTTATTCATTGAAAAGCTGTTTTGCTGTTTGCTCTCCTCATGCTACCTGCTGACTTCTCATGGCGTGACTTGAACAGGTTCTGTGAGTACTCAGATCACGGCCTGCCGATAAATAAAAGTTTGAAGAAGATTGTAAGTCATTTAATCGGATTGCTTGGTGAGGATTTTTAAAGATTCAGGACATCGTAATCTGTCAACACGCTGTAATAATGCAGATGTGTTTTTTATTTGCATGTGTTTCCTCTGAGTACTTGGTATGAGGTTTGCTGCATTTTTTTTAACCTCACATGAGTAGCCTTTAGTTTGTAAGCAAAGATGCCTCCTTCTTCATCCGAAAAAGCGTCTGAGAAAACATTTTAGCGTCCACTTTCTGTGTCTATCTATTGTTAATCTAAAGGGCTTTTACTCAACATTAATACTAAGCTTGGGAAACATTGAACTTGCAGTTCTCTAATTACAATGCAGCTAATGTGTTATTTCCTCCCCAAGTGGGATTACTTTCATCTTTCCCATTAAGATGCGCATTTTGTTTGGATACTCAAATTACCAACCTAATATTAAATCTGGCTGTGCAAAAGGCATTGATCATAGCCTGATAGCTGCACTCCAACTTTGATTTAATTTGCACTTCCATTAATATCTATGAGACGTCCGATTGTCGTCTTGGGCATATTGATGGTATTGTAAGCCCTGCCTTCATATAATGTTCCCCAGCGGCAATGAGGAAATGTTACAGAGAATTAGGCCGAGAAGTAGGCTCAGTGGAACTGGCACTGCAGTCAGAAATTCATTACCCTAATAAATAGGGGGGTGGGAGGGGGGG